GGCTGTCAGCTAGGGCAAAAGAAACTTCAGGAAATGCAGCCTCAGCCGCTCAGCAAGGAGGGGAGGAGGAAGGTGGAATGTTGGAATAGGCCTGGATTAGGGAAATGAGGTCTCCAGACACAGGCACCAAGAAATAGTCACTAGGAGAAGCCATGATGTGGTCCTTAGAAGCTTTCCTGTCACTTTGCACTTGGGATTGTCTCAAAACAGGGAAATGAGAGCACAAATACCTCAGGAAAGTTGAAGCCTTCTCTCTACTTGTTTTAGAGCGGGGATAATTTACATTTTAGAATGAATGGAGCATTTAGCAGTTAAGAAGGAAGTTGGGCTCTAGGGTAAATGTATGGTCCACACCATCCGGCAAAAGCTTGGTAATCCAAATCTTTTCTTCCTACCTGCTCTCTTCCGGTCCCTAGAGAAGGACTTGTAAACATAAATCAAGTGTGTTGTGTGTACCTCTGCTTCTGCTTGGGTCTGCCTTTTGCCTACAAGGTGTTATGATCTGGAAGGAAAGAGGAAGTCCTCTTCCAATGTGATTTGCCCTTCTGATACCCAGAGAGCCACAAGGCTGCTGGAAGCTAACAGCTGAGTACCTTCAGAACAGTAAATATATTCTTGGATGGCAGGACACGGAAGGCCAGGACCACAGCTTATCACAAGCCTTTCACCCAGACGTGGCTAATGAGCACTGCCCAGCGCCTAGGGTTGCATTACATTCCCTGCATTGCAGGGGCTCCCTTCATAATCTCAACCTGGATTCTGATAGCTCTACTTCAACTCCCTGCCTTGCTTCTCCAAGTTCAGCCCTATTTACTTAAGCCTGTATCTCCGAAGTTCAAGTGTATATATCTGTCTGCACAGCCCTGATTGACAAGTACAATGAAAATGTCTCATTCCCATCTGGTTTGCATTTCATTACATTGAGTAACAATATGCCTTGAACAGTAAAGGACAAAGGCAAAACAGATTTGTAAAAAGGGTTGATTCATGCAAGTTCCCTAGTTCGATCCCCGGAACCCCCCCCCAAAAAAAGATTGATTAACAATAACTATTTGTTCTTTCTCTATTTGATTTTAAAGATACTTTGGGCTTTTAAAAATATTTGTCAAGTGATGGACCATAGCAAAAATTCTGATGTGGCAAACAAAATCTGGAGCTCAGTGAGTGGTTGGCAAATTCGCCCTCAGGTCCTGAGATCCTGATAATTAAGAGCTTTGTCTTAGCATAAAAATAAAGAGGAGTTAAAAATGCATTCTTTTCCCAGCCCCCCTTCATTTTTTATTGCCATTTGCAGTTTTTCTTTTTAAAAGATGTGGGGCTCTAAAGAGAGGGTGGAGATTTATGCAAAGAAAGCGTCGTTTACCCCCCCCCCAAAAATGGGAATAATGGTGAGTTTCAAGGACGTGTTTCCACGAGAAACACTTTGTGCTCCACTAGGGAGAGGCAGGGGCAACAAATTCAGCATCTTGGAATAATTCCCTTCCTGGATTCAAAGATTCATTTATTGAAATAAATCAGGAAGCATTGGCAGAACGGAAATCCGCTTGCTGAGTTTAAAGGGTCTTTAAAATGTTGTGAGTGTTACATTGCAAGTCTTTTCTAAATACAAAACAGAAGAAAAGACCACAGTGTTTCCCTTGCATTTAAGAAAATTGCTAGGTCCCCAACTTAGGATAATTTTATGTCCACCACACACACACACACACACACACACACACACACACACACACACAAATGTGTTTGGAAAGAAATCTCTTGTGATAACAGAATGTGCTATACGTGCCTTGGGTTTTTTTGTTTTTTTGTTTTTTTGGTTGGGGCTAGAAGGGCAAAATGCTCTGGGCTCTGGGAGAAACCAGCTCTACCCTACTGCCCGTCAGGGTGTTCTCTTTTCCTCTTGCTTCTCCAAGATAGATCCTAAAAAATCAGATCCAAAAGCTTTGCTGGTTTGGCAATGATGAGTTTTCTCTTATTTTATTTATCGCTTTAGATTTGGGCATAAAAATAAATCTTTTTCTTATTTACTATTTGAACTCAGTGTGAGGGAAAGGATCCCATTATACTTCCTATCCATAGAGACATGTGGATATTTAGACCAGACCACATACAACTGGGGGATGCATAAAAGAGATTTATTGGTTAATTTAGGCTGCCTAATACACATGTAAACCTCAGTAAGCCAAAGCTGTGGAGGGAGCCTCGGTTACAGCGTACAATAAGAACCACGACCTAGGTTTGAATGGTCCTGCCCTGGCCAGCGCTGTGATTCTTTCCTGCACCTGAACAGATGAGAACTCTGTACTGCCTGGCCCTAGAATGTATGCCAAAAACAAAACAAAAATAAAGTTTTCTCCTTTTCGTTTCCCTCCTTGCACCACCACTCTGATCTCAGATTTAGCTCCCCCAAAGCCCTCTGTCCTCCAAAGTAGTTTCCAGGAAATCCTAGGAAAACCGAGTTTGGGGAGGAGGGGAAGTTGCAGGTCATGAGAAAAACTTCACTTCCTTTTTTCCTAACAGTAGTGACTTACTTTGTGAGGGTTTGTGGGGGGGTGTTTTCTCAGGCGGTGACTTGATACATTTTGGAGAGATCCCGTTGTATCGGGTTTTAAAAGTCAGGGTTTCCCCTCCCAAAATAAGGAACACCCCACCCACACCAACTGAAACAATTCCAATCCTCCTGCCTTCTGCCCTGCTTTTCACAAAGCCCTCAGTCTTCTCCTTTTGGGGAGGCAACCGAGACCTCTGCGCCTCGGGGATCAAGGATACCCCTTCAGAACCGCACACTCCGTATGGGCTAGGCTGCCGCGGAAAGAGCTCCATCGTCTTGGATTTTGGCCTAACTGAGCCTCCGCAGGTCTGTCCTTTAACAAGCATCCCCCCACCTTCCCACTTCTCGGCGCTGAAGATTTAATTGAATTATGCCTTTTTGTTCCAGGGACTACAGAGCGCGTGCTGGAGGCAATTAATTATCGGAATGTGGACATATCAAAACGGACACTGGCTACAGGGTAGGTCAGCGGCTTCAACGTCCCCCTGCCCCCCGCGTTCGAGACTCCTCCCCAAAACAGCTTGCCAAGCTCCCTCGGACGCCCCTCGCCTGCAGCCCCTTCCCGGGTTGCCTGTCCTGGCTCCCATTCGCAAAAGGCCCTCATTTATCAGTGTACCTGCCAGGACACCCCAGAAAATCTCGCAGCAGCGCTGGCGCTTCCAAGGCTCCACAGCCAACATCTCCGATCCCCAAGCCTAAAAATCCGCTTTCTCCAGGATAGGCTTTGGGAGGAAATGTAAACTTTTTCAAACCAGGCCCTGGGTCGGTGGAGGTTGATGAGAGGTGAAAAGAGGTACAGGGAAGGAAGAAAGGGAGAGAGAGAGGGAGGAACGGAGGGAGGAAGGAAGGAAGGAAGGAAGGAAGGAAGGAAGGAAGGAAGGAAGGAAGGAAGGAAAGAAAGGGGGAAAATAAAAGAAAGAAAAACAATCCTCCCTTGTTGTAAACCTGACTCCAGGGAATTCATTTGCATGATTTAAGCATATTTATTCTTCTCTGAACCCCCCCCCCAAGAAATCCTCTGCTGAGCGAAAATGAAACCCTTCTTGGAGAGCGTAGTTTTCGGCAGATGCAATAATTTAAGCCATCAGCGAACTCACCTTCCAACCTGGGGAGAGATCTGGATGTGGAGGGAGGCTGGGGCGAATTTGATGGGAGGGGGTGACTACGGTAAAATGTGGTACCGGCAGGGTTTTCCCCCACCACACTGGCAAAGAAAGAAGGTGAAGGGTTGGCCAGGCCGGGCAGATTGGGGGGCAGGAAGTGAAAGACTGCAGTTATAAAGCGCTGCTTGAGGCGGTCTCTCCTGGCGCCTCTGAACTTGATCAGATGTTCTGTTTCCTACAGAGAGATGGCGGCCGGGCGGTGAAGCTGCCTCCAGGCGCAGACTTTGGGGCTCTGCCCCTCTCGGGAAGTGACAATCACAGCCATCTTTTTCTTGGCCTTGTCTGTACACTCACTCGCCTGCATTCTTTGCGAATGCTTTCTGACCCCCCCTCCCCCAAAAGTGAATTTCTAACCCTGTTCGAACTTAGTCATTCTGTCCAGAAAGACGGGGGAGGGGGGCACACACGACTGACTCCAACACCGGTCCCTAAAAAGTAAATTCTTAAGGGATAAGTAGTTCCCCGGGTCACTGCGTTCTTCCCCCCGTAAGAGTAGCAGAGAGCAAGCCCGGACTGCTCAGAATGAAGAAAATTCTGTCTCACAGTCCCCATTCTCCCTCCCTACCTCTGCCTTTGAAAATGTTGAGAATTCAAAGCTGATTAGCACAGTGATAGGAAACCACGCTGATAACTGTGTGTCTAGTGCGTTTACTGTGCTTAGTGTGCTGGGTTCATATTTTGTTTCTACAGGATATGTATTCTGAGTGTTTAGTATTTGCTCGTGTTTGCTGTTCTGTGCGTGTATTCGCCCTATTGTGTCTAGTTGTGTGTTTGCCTTGTGTTGTGTAGCGTTGTTCTGCGTTGTGTGCTTACTCTTGTGTGGTGCGTGTTTCACGTGTGTGCTTGTGCTTGCTGTGTAGCGTCCGTGTTTCCTGCCGTGTGCTTGCGTTTATTGTGTTGCACAGGTTTGCTGTGTCATGAGGGGAGTGGGTGGCGGCGAGTACCACCGCTACCCATAGACTAAAGGGTCAAGGCTTGGCTCAGACGAAGTATGGGAGACCGGCGTTTATTGCAATCGCTTCTCTTCGTTTGAGCCTCGGACGGCTGCCGCTAGCTCGGGGCACCGGCAGAGAGCTGCCCCGACCGGGGTCCAGGGTCTCTCAGGGACATCAAGACTCGTAGGGGCGAGTGGGGTAAAAGCAGCAGCTGGGCTGAGAGCGCTGAACCGCAGCACTCACTCCTCGATCTGCGTCGTACGGTTACCGAGGGACAACCTGCTCAAGGTGGGAACGTGGCGGGTACCCTAGCAGGGCCGGACGTCGCGCGCTGCGCCCCGGGAGAGGCGCGCAATGAGAAGGATCCTCGCGGGGCAAAGAGTTTCTTTAGCTAAGGCGGGTAAAGAGCGCGAGAAGGGTGCTTGGGGTCCGCCTGGAGCCGGGACGAAGCCGGAGCCAGGCCAGCTCCGCCCCGCTGTCTGTGGGCTGAAGCCTGGCCCCGGTCCAGTACAGCCGCGCAAACCCCGCGGAGCTCCGCGGGCCAGCTAGCTCCCCATTGGCGCGCGCCGCCCGGCCTCCCGCTTGGTTTATGTGAAAGGAGTGAGTGATTGACTTATCAGTCCAAGGACATTACTCTGGAGGCGAAGAGGCTGGGACTTGCGAGGCGAACGGCGAGGATCGAGCCTGCCTCCTCCCTGCTGCCCGCCCGCCGGTTGTGATCCGGCTCCGCCACTTGGCGCAGCCCAGCCCGGAGGCCGGTACCCAGGGAGCCTTCTGGCCCCGGGGTTCCGCGCTCTCGGGCAGAGGAGGGGTACCCGGGGCAGGATTGACAAACCCCGCCCTCCACTTATTATTTTGCTTATTTTTCTTTGTGCGCTCCTGTTAGTTTGTTACAACAGATCTAGTCCAAGAGTCTTTTCTCCTCCCTTCTCCTCCCTCCTCCTTTCCCCCCCTCTCCCTCCACCCCTGCTCCTTTTTCTTCCCCTCCTCCCTCCTATCCCTCTGCAGGAGACTCTCTCAGAGACGGAAAGTTGCAGCTCCCGGTAGCGCCTCAGTGGTCTCGCTGCTGTGTCCCAGCGCCGCCATCCCTCTTCTACTACGGCACTTTGGGGATCTCCTCCTTCGCCTTCACCCCTGCTCAATTCAGCCGGATCGCTCCTGTGCCGAACGCCCCATCTATGACG